TGTAAATATGAGTAAATATTATCCACTGAAAATATTTCAATTTATATATTTTTATTTCATATGATGATTAGATTCACATGTCTCATTGTGAAAGTCTATGCAGCATTTTTTTCGAAGTTAAAAAGGCAGACTGAGAAATTGCATTTTCTCTTTACCCTTTTTCATTTTAATATTCAGACTTCTTATGTCTTTTCATTTAATTCGACAAAAATGATACGACATTAACACTTTTGATATTTTGACATCGAAAACAAGTTAAAGACGCCTTTAATTCGATTGCTTTGCTTTAAAATGTAGTTATATTTCATGTTTTGGTATAATTTCATAGAAATATACACATGTGTAATATGGTCAGAAGATACCTTGACTGATGTTTGACGTTTAGATAATTTTCGGGTTTGAAGACTTTTACGCTTAAAAGAAAAGTCTGTTCTTAATACACCTTTACTGGAGATAACTTGCCAGAAATTCTCTGGATTACTGCTACAATCATATTGAACCTTAGCTGCCTTCCTGATTCAGATTACTTCATTCACATCAATCAATGTTGTGATATTTACGTTGACTGCAGCATTTTAATTTTTTAACTTTTTTCTCGCAATTTGTTTCGTTTTTTTTTTTTTTTAAGTTTTTCAATCTCTTTCTTTTAAACACAAAATTTTCTTTCAGCCTCTGCGGCGTTATGAGGTTTGCTGTTTAATTTCAAGTGAGAAATATCCAAGATTTAGATAACTGCCTTCAGAATTGTTAGACGCGCTTTGGCAATATTACGATATCACTACTTTTGCAAGTGCTTGCATTGCGTCCACATGCATTAAAAGATGTTTAAGAAAGTTTTGTAACTACATATTTAGAAACTTTTGTATATTCTCTTCTGATGGGTGCTGGTTTTTTTCCTTTATTTTATTATGGCAAGACATCCAAGGGCTATCTGCTTAAGGGAAGGTTGCTTTCGTGTAGGCCTTTCTAAGGGAAACTGTCTCGAATACATGTTTCTCATTAGAAAAAAACATGAAAATGCCTATGCAGCTTGCTCGTTCGCCGGGATTTAGACTCCGGACCGAACTACCATTGTCGCTCGGTCCCTGGTAGTCTGAATAATGACTGGAGTTAGACTGAACGAAAAATGGGATTTGCATAGAAGAGGATACCGGTCGGTGTATCGACAATAATCTATCGGTGTAATTTGGTGATGACATATATTTCGACGTGAGCAGATTGATGAAACAGCTGTTTTGATATCTGGCAAGTATTGTTCGGCAGTAATATACAAAAGACGACACAGATTATTTTCCCTAGAATCATAAATCTGCCTTCATATGAATTTGCTGAATAAGAAGACAAGTTCTTTTTATTCAAGACAAATTCCCATTTCTAATTCTGGCACTTGACTGACATTACATTCCAGTGGCATATCTTCCGTCAAACACAGTTTCATTGTTTGAAAACTGAAACACTACAGACATTCTGGCAGCATACCATATGACTAAAAATAATGGACTGCAGTCAACTTCATTTCTCACAAATTTTGTAAAAGTATGACTCAAAATGCAGCTGCGCGACGGATGTACAGGCTTGCTCTTTTTTTTGTTTGACATTAATTGTGAAATAGTAAAAGAATGTATTACGTCTCTATCTCCCCTTAATTCTCCGGGGGAAAAATGTTAATAAGAAAAAAGGAAAAGAAGTAATAGAAAAATCTCCCTTTTTAGAAAAATTAAAAATAACTTTTAGGGTTAATTGACGCTCGCACCAGGCCAATACACGAGTACCTGAAAAACTTGATTTCGTATACTGCACATAGCCTTAACTACCGCTGTCAACTTATTTTAGCATGTACTACCTGTTTTTCTTTCTGGCATTATTTTAAAAGCAATGTTTTCCTCATTTGTTGCATTTCTAGTGAATCCTTGGTATTTTCCAAACTAAAAAATGATAACCATTAGTATTTCAGGGTCCCTAGGGTCTCCCTTGACAGACATATTCAGCCTTACTATACCACTCACGTTTTGACAGGACAGGGTCATTTTCCTTCTTATCTCTACCGCTTTAAGATTAGAGATAATGAATCTTGTGAATGTGTTGAAGAAGGCAGCCCGGACCATTTTGCATTCAGCTGCAATCTTCTTAGAGATCACAGACTCAGGCAGCCGAGTGATAATAAGTCCATGTGGTTCAAGAGCCTCCAATATAATAAATATGCAACCACTCCGGCTCAAAAACATTATTGCCTGGTGTGCAGATTTGTAAGATGGAATATGTATTTGTGTTTCAGTTTATGCCAAAAAAAAAGTGGTAACTGAACAAAATATTAGTATGTAATCAGGATCGCATCTATTTAAGTTATATGCTGATGAAATATTGTGCATAATAATTGTATAATGTAATAGCGATTATAATATGTACTAGATATTGTAAGACGCAATTATCTAGTAATGTATGAGTATTTAATCAATAAGTGGATGATAAATATCATAACTGTATTTGTAATTAATGAACTTCTGTCATTCATCCGTAAATGTATCAGTTGTAATATACTTGCAATTGTATTAAATATTGGTAACTATGTAATGTAAAGGTACAACGTATTTGTATAATGCACTGTATTATAGATGTACGTGGAAGTTTGGTTTTGTTTTTGTCTTATATTATGCGCAGTAATATTATAATGTATAGGAGATTGGATAAAGTACTATATACTGTAAGCTAAATTTGCATGTGTTTAATGTATCAGTACTTGAAACAGGTTTTAGTATTTACCTAAGAATGCAAAAAAATACTCGTTAAGAAGTAGATTGATAAAACAGTGTACTTGTACCTGCTGTATAATGCATTTCGATGTAAAAATACTTGTGAATGAGTAGATTGATAATACATTGTACTTCTACATGCTGTATAATGCACTTTTGTAATAATATGGTACAAGTTATTGGTCAGTCAAATATTGGTAAATGTATAGTGTATAGGTATAAAGTGCAGGTATTGGAAGCATAACAGTAGTTTCATAAGATATAATAATTTTTATATAATGTTTTTAACTTAGTTATGTTTTAGTATTTATTTAAGAATGTATTAGCATTTATTCAAGAATGTGCTGTGTATTTGTATTATGTAATTGCTTCACATATCTGTATCTATATTTTATATTTGTATTATATATTAGTAAGTATGCATGTATTATTCACGACGGGTAAGAGATTCGGCTTCCTAAGAAACTTATGTTCCTAAGAAACACAGTGCTTTAATATCTTCAAGGACCTTAAACTGCTGAGTTGGTAATCAATTCTGTATAGATTATGTAATACTCTGAGACGGAAGCCAACTCAGAGGATTTCAGGATTTCAGTACTTCAGAAGTACACAAAAGTATTTAAGGCTAATAAATGCTTTAACGCTCAAAGAAAAAAAAAAACATTCTACAGGTATAAAAACCCGATTATCTGGCATTCAGTAACCATGAAACTCAAATAACTAGCTATTTTAAATTTTTTAAATTTTTTATGACAAAAATGAAGCAAATAAGAGACTTGCAAAGTTATCGAAAGGTACATTATAGACTTACGACTCGGAACAAGTAAAGCCAGTATCCAAACATAATAGTAATTTGCTCCAATAATGAATAAGCGTGACATCACAACACAGTCATATGACCTTCCGTTTGGTTAACACGATCAGTTTTTGATCAGCCAGTTTAGTTTCTATGATGAAGAACATATATTAACTACTATTTATCAGTTTCTCTTGATATTTGAGAAAAAAAGGTAAATAAATAAATAAAAGAAGTGGATTAAAATTTGGGACATGCTCTAAGCGGAAGAGCATGCTGTGGAGTATTTACAAAATTACGAGATCCTGGGATCAAGAAAAGTGTATGCTGATGGACACAACATTGGACTTTATTTGGAAACAGATAAACAATGGTGACGCAGTGTGAAAAAATATGACAAACAATTTAATACGCTGTATGCGTAACTGAAATCTCTTTAGTTTATAACTAAGTAAGTAGCAATCAGTTCTTTCAAACTTGTGTCGAAATTATGTTTGTCGTGTTTGGCCGAATATATCTACTAACTTTCGAAAAGGTTTAATAATCGAGTAACATATCTTACTTTCGTATATTTAAAGCCTAAAAAAATGCTTTTAAGTTTGAAATAGTTTGGTTTAGGTTTATTTAATTATGGCAAAGCACACTAGGGCTATCTGCGTAAGAGGAACGGATGCCTTTGTTGAGGACTTCTAAGGGAAACTGGCTCGTATACACGTTACACACGGGGAAAATCACGAAAACGCCCATGCAGCCAGCCCTTTCGCGGGATTCGAACCTCGGACCGAACTACCAGTGTTCAGCGACTTTACCGCTCGGCCGCTGGTGAGCTTAAGTTTGAAATACGTCAGTAAAAATCTTGCATGATGTTGAGTCTAGGCTTTTGATATTCAAGCTGATAATAAATAAGATGACTCCTTTTATAATTTCAGACTGGAAACTTCTTCTTCTATTCATTTAGATTTTGTAAAATGAACTTTAGTTTTTATACGCTCAACCACCTGGAATTTTTAGAGCTTTCTTTATAGTTCAGCTTTTATTGTACATCTATTAACAAAGTGTATTGTTTATATAACCGTTAAAAATGAACTCAAACGGTAAGAATGAGAATACAAAATAACGGTCAAAATGCAAATACAAAAAGCAAGCGGATCGCGTTACAGTAGGCCGTAGTGTACATTGATGATTGAAGTAAACAGTTAACATTAGCTAAAGGTTGCAAAAAAGAACGGGATATGTAGAGCAAAACCATCATAGATTGGAATAATCTTCAGGAAATATGCATTACCGAAATATAAGTAGGGGCGAGAAGAAAAATACTTTTGGCCGACAGCTGGTGTTTAAAGCCTAAAATTACCTTGTTTCCAAATGTTGTTCGGTTAATGTGTTTTAAAGCACATAAGCCCCAAATAAACATAAATAGTGCATAATGCAAAATAAATAGAAACGAAACTTACTTTCTTAATGTCAAATGCATCCATGACTGGTATAGATGATGGATCACAGTCAACATTGGCATACTGAAGAACTAGTAATTGGGGAAAACACAACAATAATATAGTACAGATTAGGAATCAAATCCTTAAATTTAATATTAATCTCAAATAATATTAATTTATGAGTGATTTGTGCAATGATATGTAGTGAATATCTATTGATGCATACTCAATAAGTATATATGCAAATAAATATTCAGTAAGTACATGTATAGATAAAAACTTCTTTCTTTTGTATTTCATACAAGAAATTCTCTGCATTTTTAACGCACAGAATTCCTGTACATTACATTTTTCACAAACCACAAATTACAAAAGTCGCAAAGCGATGAAAGATGGAGACTGAATAGTTTCCCGACAGAAAATTTCTGTCCCGTTTTTACACACTTTCATGAAAATCATATTAAAAATTGTATTTCTCATAATTTAATTAATTGAAATAATATCTGAAACAAAATAACTACAGGAAACCGTAATCTATTTTTAATTTTGATAGGATATTAGTGAATTCACTATTTACCACCACAAATTCTCTCTGCTCGGTATTTAACTCTACAAACTTATTACTCTCTATAAAACCACTTTAGCACATTCCACAAATTTCCATTAAAAATATATATAATTTCTTTTATGAAATACAAAATAATAATAAAAAGTCTGAAAGCTTTCACATTTTACATGGCGCATAAAGTGGCGTGATTTTAATTTAGATACACATAATACGTTTCGAGAGCATTTGGGCTAAAAATATTTAAAAATATCATATCTTTAGAATTTCCGATAGACAGTCCCGCGCGCTGGAGATAAAAATATTTTATTCAGTATAGTGTGTTGCCACTGCTCGCTTTAAAATCGTTGAATTTCTTAATCATAAATTTAAAAAATATGAAACAGATAATAAAGCAAATTCGAAATTCAAGATTCGGGCTTCCAGGTTACGATATTCGGGTGGAGGACTACGTTATTTAAAATTTGATGGCTCTAGAAATCGTAGTTTTTTTTTTGTGTTAATGCATAGATACTCAATTTATCGTTTTAATGTGTCGTATAGTGGGTTCAGAATAACGTTTCTTTGATCAGTTTATAAGATGGATGTACTCGTATATCTTTACCTTTAATACATATCCAAGAAACGACTCGCATTGTATATAAGAAAAAACATTACTAACAACACTTTTTAATTCACTACACTGTGAATTACAGCACTCTGAAACAGTATAGCATGAACTATTATTGATTTGTTGCAGTCCTAGGGATATCGATCCTTGCAAATAACATTACATAACAGTTTATATCTTCTACTTGTAGAATTTAACAAATATTCTCTATTCGTATAAAGCTAATATAGGTTTAAAATTTAAATTTATTAATTATTTTTTAAAAGAGAATTATTTAAATTTAATTTACTATATTCTTGTGAAGCAATTCTACTTGTTGAAGATACTTTCTCTAGATAAATATTATCGAGCTTAGATTTACAAACCAAACGATACCGTGGCTCTAACTTGTTTTCAGACGCTTAGGGTTTTCAATTTTATTCGCAAATACCAGTAATTAAATTTTTGTGAAATGACTTTACTTTTCTTTCACATATACTACTGATCATCTTTTTTAAAACTTGATCTTAAAAAAAATAGGTTTTCAATACGCGTTTAGTAAAAAATATTGTTTAATCAAACATTCTGAAAAGGAACTCGCATAAATATTCGGACATTTTTGAACAAACAGTTTTTATTTAATAAAACATGAAAATAACGGAGCATTTAATATTTCATTGAATATAGCTAAAATTGAACTGTTCACGCGCTTTCGCATGGATTCAATTAATGTTTTTGAGCAAGAATGTTGCATTTTTTTCTTAAGAAATGCTCTTATTGGAGTGATCAAATAAATATCATACTTCCTTATTCTGTTCTCGAACTCATACATGTTTAATAGGATTTAAGTCAGGAGAATATGGAGCACTTTTTATTACTTCAAGGCAATTGTATAACTCTATTTAGAATCTGTATCCAGATAGAAGTTAAATATATTGTTGCTTGCGTACGGGTGTAATGGATACACCCGTACGCACTTAATGGATTGAATGAACACAGAACCGATGATAGCTTGATAAAATTTATTAGACTTTGATAAACACTTTAGAACACAGTTCTAGAACTTTCTACGAAAGCACTCATATAGCTCTTTGCAGTATCATAAAACACAATCCAAACTACTAAGAACACTCTAAACTTCTAAGAACAGCAAGAACAGTTACACTTCAAACTACTAGGAATGGAAACACAACACAACGCAAAGCGCATCTAAAAGACAAAGCTCTTACGGATATCTCAATGCTTCGAAGTCTCTTTGAACAAATAACTAACAGCTACTTCGAAACTGATACTCTCTTCGGTCTTATATACTTTTCCTACAACCGCCGAGAAATCTCTAATCCTTCTCGAAATTATTGGAAGGCATATGAGTGCCGAATACGGTTACAGTTACATATAGCATCAACTACAGTTCTTTGGTTACAATACCCATTACAGTTAAACAGGAACCGTTATTGTCTTCATAGAACGTATACATCCTATGAATACGTTTTGATAACATCAAAAATAGTTGAACCATTTATAACAAAGATAGTTTAAATATTTCAGTAATTTTGTCTTCATAGGATGTATACGTCCTATGAAGACCAAATTTCTCACTTCAAAGGCATCGAAACATCCCTAAACTTCTCTTCACTTCCAAACAAACAACAAAGCACGGAAGTCATTGGATCCAAATATATTAAATTTTGACTAGTTTGCAAACACAACAATATTCCAATATGTTAAATATTTGCTTACCTCGGGAAATAGATTAATTGACGTGATGACTTTCGCAAAGACAGACGTATGATGTTGATGACGAATTTCACTATTGCTTATTCTTATTGTATCCATTTGCTCGAATGACTCTTCTAACAGTTTCAGTATTAACTTTTATTGTAAACTGTTCTCCTAAATCGTATACAAATTTTACAGCTTTGAGGTTTCTGTTCTCTTTGATTTTTCGTAGTATAAATCTCCGATTCCTTCGTGTTATCTCGGAATGTTCCAGACTTGACTGCATTTTGAACAGTTACAGGTAGTTTTCATAGTTTGGATAACATCAAGAATAGTTAAACGCTTGATAGCAAAAAACAGTTTGAATATTTCAAATACCCTTACCGTCTTTAAAATTAACATAAACTAAGAAAAATTCAAATTTCTAACAGAACGTTTCGTTAATTTCTAGACGTTTGCCATTAATTTGTAGCGTCTTTCTGATATGAAACTGTTAATATATTTTACTAATCTGAATGCAGACAATAACTCTTATAATGCATTTTTCATTTAATACAAAAAATTAGGACAAGAAAACGGCGTGTTCTAAAACATCTCAGTAAAACTTTCAAATGTCCGTATTGTTATGTGAGTTACTGATTAACATGTTAACACGCTTTGAATGAATTATTTAGTACTCGGAATATTTTGATGATATTTATTTTGCAAAAGAAGGCTTGAAGCAGGGGGGAAAATATCATATTAGAAAACACCTCAAGTCTATATTTCAATATTTGGAACAAAATCTCCGAAATTAAAATTTAAGAATAAACATATGCGAAAAAAAAAAGTGAGTCACTAAATATTATAAAGAGCAATCCAGCAACTAGGTCTAAGGTAAAACTGTTTATTGGACTTCATTTACTTTTTATGTTAATTTTAGAAAATTAATTACAGTCTTCTTACTAGAGTTTAATTCTAAGGAGGGCTTTTTATGATGAATGTGAGGAAAAAGTATTAATTAACGCTAACTCGAACTTAATGAGCAGTTTGGAATAAGGTTGAATATTATCTATAGTTAAAAACCTTTCATATTTCACATTTACAACATAATGTTTTGTTTCTTTAATTTGAATAGCAAATGTTTACTACTATATCTGTAATTTTGTTTCTTATGGAATAAAATGCAGACCAGATTTATGCAAAATACTACTGATTCATAAATTTTCTTCCTTAGTTAAATATATATTAGGTCTTCTTGCGAATCAGTTTATTGTCTGTTTAAACACTAAAGAAAAGAAAGTCAAAGGATTACTTATCACTTCGATTTTACTGATGTGAAAAAATTATTCAAACTTTGGTTTCCAGTTAAATATCATATCAATAATATAACTCTGAAATTATATTCTATGTTTAAATAATGGACAGATAATCTTACACAAGAACATTCGCTCATTAAATGGTCCTTAATATACAACAAAAAAATTGAGGTATTGCAAACAAATGACAGACATTTTAATGATTTCTTGAAGTTAAAAAGTCAATTAGCTTGTTGGTCATACAACCAGAAATGATTTCTTTTCACATAAAAATCAGAAGAAAATAAAAACCAGCTTTTGAAGAAAATAATGTCACGTGTGTTTGAGATGATTCAAGTGACAAAAACCACTGCACAGTTCCCGCCGAAAGGAAATTTGCATGGCAACAGATAACGAATTCCTTACGTAAACATTGATAAAAACGCAGGATGTGGTTAAATACATAAATGCCACTTTCGTAATTTCCAAATAAAACAAGTATCGATAGGCACATCCTGTTACAGACAGTTTTTATCTTTCCTATTTTAGAATTTCAAATTAGGAATTTTTATTCTATCGATAACCCAGGTAATGTTTAGATCAGGTATGTAATTAGGTAGGTTATTCAAATAAATTCACCTAAATTGATACGTAGTTAGTTTGAGCAAAGTGAAAATTACCATTGCATCGAAGGCATTTGTTTTTAAACATGAAAGCTTTCTTCCTTTATATATGAAAATAATTTACATCTACATCTACTTGCACATTTTTTAAAGAAGTTTCACTTAGATTTGAAAAAATTGTAATTTTTATATCCCGTTTTTTGCGAATTTGAGGAAATGACTGATGTCGAAATATTTTACACTGCTTTCCTTCGAACAATAAACACAGTATATTTCCATATACAAGCCAAGAATTTTGAAATTTTTTTTAAAGCTA